TGACGATAAGTCCAAATCCAACAGTTTATATAGGGATGGAGATCAAACGTAACAGGGACGGAATTTTAATCAGTCAAGAAAAGTATGCAAAACAAATTCTTGAAAGATTCAATATGAAGAACTGCAAAGAAGTAAAGACACCAATTAACCTGAAAGATACAACTGAAACTCCAGATGAAAATACTACTAAAGGAGCTTTTCCTTACAGAGAAGCAGTAGGAAGTCTGCTTTACCTCACTAACAAAACCAGACCTGATATGAGTTTTTCAGTCAGTTATGAAAGTAGACACTTGGAAAATCCTGACAAAAATGACATCCAAAATGTAAAGAGAACCCTTAGATATCTAAAAGGAACACAAACCCATGGAATAAAATTCTCTTCAATTAAACGTGACAAAATTGAGCTGAACGCTTATTGTGATTCTGATTTTGCAGGAGACACTCAAGACAGAAAAAGTACAAGTGGTTATGTAATAATGTTCGCAGGTGGACCTGTGACTTGGAGCTCAAGAAAACAGCCCATTGTAGCACTTTCAACAGCTGAAGCAGAATATATTTCCGCTGCTGAATGCTGCAAGGAAATAAAATATTTGAAAACTCTAATTAGTGAACTTACTAACAAGCCAGTGAAAATAACACTCAACATAGACAATCAAAGCACAATGAAAATGATTCAATCCGGCCAAATGAACCGCAGAAGCAAACACATTGATGTGCGCTATTACTTCATAAGTGAACAATTTCATGAAGGCCTGTTTGCACTCCAATACTGTAGGTCTGATGAACAGTTAGGTGACATTTTCACAAAATCTCTTACTTACCCTAAATTTCAAAAGTTCAAAGAAATCCTCATTAAAAGCTTTGCCTAATTTTGAGTTGAAACTTAGAAATAAGATGATGAGGTAAACAATGTACTGTAAATATAATGTAAATATTATTCATTAAATTAAATGGACAATAAATAGACAATCTAATAAAAACATTGTATTTTCAAATGTTAAAACTGTTTTTCAACTTTGTAAAACACAAACAATATTATTAACTAAGCTAGCAGTATGGGTTTACAAGAATCTAGCGTTGAGAAATATATAAAACATTTTATTCTTAAGGGGGAGTGTTAAATATAATATAAAAATAAAATGTTTGTTTAAGCCTGCCTTTATTAGAAAAAGAACAGCTGTAATGAAATTAACACAACAATTTAAAATGGTGTAAATAAATACTTTTAGTGGAATGTGTTTGAGAATCTTGTTGTTGGTTTTGTGAATAATAATTTTGTTTAATGTAAAAAGTTAGTATTTATTTAAATATAAAAAAGTAAGAAAACTTTTCATCCAGGACATCAAAAATGATGTACTGGTGGTCACTTGCCGTATAATCCTCTAGGACTCTCCAGGCTCGTATCCTCGGCAAGAGGGACTCAGATGCAAGCGTGATGTCTGGGATCGTTCCCCTCATTCCGGGACGCTGGAAAGTTGGCGTGTTGCCCTCGTTTATGACAACAAGTCCAGCCCTGGCAGTAAAGTCCAAGTACTTCCCCCGGGAATTAGTGAGAGTCATTCCCCACTCAACAGCCCTAGCATTGAAATCCCCCGCCACGACAACGTGCCCGTCGGTATCGCGCACGCTCTCTTCCAGGCGGTCTATCTTTCCACGAAAGTCACGGATAGCCTCGTTGGGGGTGAGGTATACACTAAAGTAAGTGACATCCCCGCACCGGACCCAAACGAATCCTCGGCCTTTCGCATGACTCCTCACCTGCACTTTAGCTGTATTACGAACCCAGAACGCAGCAGTACCAAGTGTATCGGGAAACCAAAGAGATGGGTCCCTGTCCCGGTACTGGTACTGTTCGCTGACCAAGAGCGCGTCAACACCGTGTTCGAGGGCAAGCTGACTGAGAAGCGCGTCAGCTGTCTGGATCGATCTACATTGCACTGGAGGATCCTTATCTTCGTGGTTGGGCTTTCGCTTGTTGTAGTGCGCCTTTAAATGCACTGCACTGCTCAGACCCAGCTATATGTTTAGCGTTTTTATCATTGAGGCCTTTCTCCTTACAGAGGAAACAGGTCTCGACTTTACAGTCCCTACGAGTGTGACCCACCTCCCCGCATCGAAGGCAGTTCTTGCCTCAGTCGAGCCCTTCGCAGTTTCGGGAGGAATGGCCGAAATCAAGGCATTTAAAACACCTCGTTACTTCCACCCTCCATCTCAACCTGCAATTAACCCATCCAACCCTCAAATGCTGGAGTGCCAAAACCTTACTGGCGTTTGTGTCTGCCATTTCGGCAACCGCCATCTGCTGTTGACTCCGGTTTGGTTTCGTGAGCCACACCCTCAGACTAGCCGTTTGTCCGGCAAGCTCGAGGACAGCTTTTTTTAGGGCATCAATGACGTCATCCTCCGTTGACACACAATCCATATCCCGAACCTCGACGGACATCTTGGGTTCGAGAGCACGAACGGTGCCCTGACCTTCCACAGCTGCCTTTAGTTCGGCAGCAAAGGCGGCTTTATCTTTAGACTTACCCAGTTCGAAGAGGACATCCCTGTCCCGGGTTTGTCTAATCGACCGTACAACCGTGTCGGTTTGCTCTGGCTTAGCCTTGGCCTTGATAACACCCAAGACTTCGGCGAATGATCTTCCCTCCAAAGGCTTGACCAAAATTGCCTCAGTCCTGGGCTTTTTGGGCCGCGACTCTTTAGAAGCGAGTGCCGAGCCAGGCACAGCTTGGGCAACGCCGGTCGACTGCGCCCTCACTGCCACATATGTCTTGGAGCCGACTTCCGCGTGCCTCAATTCCCTCTTCTCCTTTTTCGTAAGGCGCTTTTCCCACACAGTCCCAGATGGTGTTTCTACGACTGACCCCTATAGGGAGCTACCCTCAATGGGTGTTGCAGGTTGCTGTGGCTGTTGAGGTTTCGCTGGAGCGGCAACTACGTCAGAGAAGGACCTAGAAGTCTGGGTCGCCTTGACCTTAACTTTAGGCTTTGCTGTCTGAACAATCTCTTCTCTTTTTGGAGGGCTTTCTGATGTAGGCCTCCTGCGTTTCTTGGAAGGTCGCGCATTGCCGTCAGGTAGGGACACCACCTTCTCGGCGATCCTTTCCATGGCTGACTTGCTCACCAGCCGGCAGGCGAAGACAAAACCAAGGTCGTCCTCGAGCTTAGCCATACCATTTTTAACCACTTGGTTAACTCCTCTATGCGTCTTAAAGGTTTCAAGCATTGCCTTTATGGTCTGCTCCATGTTTCGAAGCCGGTTTTCAATGTCATTTTCTGCATCAAGATATTGCTGACGCAGAAGTACCATTCCCGACACTTCCAAATCTAACGCTGCTGTTAGGGATTCCTCCGGCATCCCTTCACCAGACTTAGAGGGTGGTCCACCGTTTCCTTCTCCACTTGTCAAGGGAGATCCCAAAGTCAAGTCTTTTGTACACCTGAAAGTTGCAGATGGTGGGGACGTCTTCACGCCTTTCAATGTTGGCGATCTCTGGACCTTGGAGCTTCGCCCAAAAGGGTCTCGCTCTACTTCCGACTTCTTTTCTTGCTCATCCGAGCTACTTATCAAAGATGTGTTCAGGGTATTTGTTTTAAAAGCCATCTTGTGTTTACCAGCGCATCGTGCGGCAAGGGGCGGCCCGGAATAGTCAGGAACGGGTATACCCTCGGGGACAGCGCCCCTACCCCAGATCCCCGAGGCCCAACCTCCGTTTTCCCAGCACCGGATACCTGACGTGCCGGGGGTCACCCGTCACAATGTAGAGCCCGACCTCTACATCCATGCCGCACTCCCTGACCAAGGACCGAAGTGGCTGGCTTCTCACGACTCACTGAGAATTCCCATCGGCAGTGCAGAGCACACATCAACCCCTGCAAACACAACAGGGGCACTCCCAGGGACTCCCAGTGAGAGCGTCGGTCACCCTTTTAGTCGCCTCTTACGACAAGCCCGGGAAGGCTGCGGTTCTATTCTAACCCCGAAACCGCAGGGGGAAGGAATCTCGACATATTGGAAAAGGGGGTTAATGTATGGATAACTGATTTGAAGCGGTACGGGACTATAGTAGATAGAGGTTCCAATGATAGAGAATACATGGTGAAGTCTAATGGAAATTGTTTAAGAAGAAACAGGAGGTTTCTTATCCCGACATGTAAACAATCATATATCAACATGTATGATTCATGGGATCGTTACCCGGATGAAGGAACCCCTAATATTTGTCAAGAGAGAGAAGATAGCCTTAGCAACGGAAAAGAGAGCGAAAACACAGATACTTCTAATGGAAAGAAAGAAGAAAATAGAGTGGAATGGGAAAGAGGCAGAAAAGTTAATGGACGGTATTTCACTAGGACCGGAAGAGAAGTTAAACCTACATTGCGGTATCAGTTTTAACATTTTATCATGGGAGAGAGGATGTAATGGAATGACATGTGATTTAGTAATTATTTGTATGTTTACTCATATGACTATGGTTACCAGGGGTTACTATGTTGTTGACTTGTTTTGAAGTGAGTTGTTAAGTTAGTTGAATGTTGAATAAAAGTTCTTAGAAGAATTCGTTTTATTCTATCTTTACAGTTTCCAATAAAGTTCCCGGATTGGCTACACCCCATCACGCTACTATTCCCTCCACGCATCAACTGCCGATCCAAAAGTTTCCTTGCTCTCCAGTCCTCAAGATTCCAGCAAACCGTAAACATTTTGTCGGCCAGGTTTTATTTTATTCCCCTAATGGTGTTTTTATTTGAATTATTGCACCCTAAACTTTCAAGTTTCAGCACATGTCAAGAGCAGCTTTCAAGCTTTATTGTTGAGTTATCCCTAAGAAAGATGTTGGCCAAAATGGAAGCTTTGTTTAGTATTCTAATGTAACTGTTATACACAGTAAATACAACTAGTTTAAAAACATCAGAAGTAACTATTCACAAACTACTAAGTTGAATAAATCATTTCAGAATGTGGAAATGAAATGTGTAATGTCGCTTGTATATACCTTTCCCGCAGTGCTCTCCCGTCGCAGCTTGGTGGCTCTGAGTGCTGCACTCAACTGAGATGATTCCTCGGCCAACATCTGCACCTCCAGCTGTTCTACAAACACTGTCAACAGCTGGACACCAACCGGCAGACGGAACTGAGTGCTTACACTCGCTCCCGGCAACTGGGTCATGAACAACATGGTCAGAGGAAGCCAAGGCATATAAAGGAAGGTGTGTGCACGTACATCCCCCCCACTAACTACGGACATAGTGTGACGTAGTATGCTGGTCTTGCCAGCCGACCAACTATAAGCCAAAACCATAAACTGCCATACTTGTCCCACTGTACGTTGTTTTACTTTCTCCCCCTATACCATAGTATATGGAGAAAGTATTGTTTTCGTCAACAATTTTGAGTTTGAGTGGATATATCCGTTTTGGGTCTCCCTGGACCCAAAAAAGTAGTTTTATTACACCCGTGATCAGAATTTGATGAAATTTTGTATGTAGGTACTAATCCATGGCATCCCAGGAGTATATTTAATTTTTTAGAAATTTTGATTTTTAATGGTGATTTTCCTGTAAAAACCTAAAAAAATAACCTAAAATATAAAATAACGGAAAAGTTGGATTTTCTCAAAAATGGCTAGAACAATTTTGACAAAAATTTAGTATGTTGTAGCCTCTTAAATTCTGAACAAAATTGTATAATTCCCATTTCTGTAAAAAATATGGTTCAAAAGTTATTGTTAATTATTTTATTTTCCCATAAAAACAACCCAATAAAAAAAAAATGAATTTTAGTATAAAAGCCGGTTTTAATCAAAATTAATGTGTTATGGTCCTTATGATTCTAAACAAAATAGTGCAATCCCCCATGGCTGTAACAATTACGGTTTAGAAGTTATTGCAACTTTTGTGATTTTTTCCTATAAAATATCATAGTTACTCCCATAGCTTACCCATGATAAAGGTTGTTGACAAGCTAATGTGAGAAAGTACGTGTCAGATTGCTGATACCGTTTTTTTTATGTTGTATATGTTACACATATAGGTATTTTAAACTTGATTATGATTTGGTAAACTAAAAACACGTTTAGCAAGCAGTTTGTGTGAGTGGCGCCGGTGTGGTGCGGCAGGGAGACACGCACGCGAGGTAGCAGTGCAAACTGGACGAATTTATTCCTCACGAAGCACACACCTTCCTTTATACCCCTTGAGAGGAAGCAGTTCACATATGACTATGATGTTACAGTAGGCCTACCGATTATTTGAAAATTTTTTTTATCAGATTCAAAAATTTTAGCTACACATGGTTGGTAACTGGTACCGTTCACTTAATATATACCCATGCATTCCAAAATGTGTAAAAAATGTTAAAACGAATTCAAGACAGAGGAAATGTTAAGTAGGTAATAGATTACGGAAGCAATATATTCTAGCCTACAGTGGAATTTAAATTAAAATTTTAAAAAGTGAAATAAACCTAGATAACATTAATAATTCAGATATGTGTGAGCCTGAGATTTTCAATTGATTTTGGAAAAAGCTGATTGTAAATAAAATAACTTAACACCAACATTGAACTTCTTTACAGTAAATCAGTAAATTTTTGGGACTCACGATATAAGATAATTCGACACTTTGCACTCTGGCAAAAAAACTGTTGGTGTTGGTCCTTGCCAAAATTGCCGGTACCTACCTTATAAGATGGTACTAGCTGAAAACTTCAAGCTATTTAGTAACTTTTGTACGCATTTGATAGAACTTGTATGTCTGAACAGTTGGATGCGTAATTATTTTTCCCCTTTATTCTTTATGAAACCCAACACAAAGTTAATGTAAAAATAATCCAAGTTAGATGGACACAAAACTATTCTTCAAATATATATATATATATATATATAAATAATATATATAGATATATATATAGATAAATTAAAAAATAGTGTAATTTAAAATTCCCATGTTATTCTTATGGAGAAAATGAAAATTGTTGTAGTTTACTTGATTATGGATATATATTGATAAAATTTGGCAAATTTATTTATTTCATCCTATACTATTGACGAATGGTCAAAAAACACTTTTTACCTTCCCCGTAGCAGCAAACCTAAGCACTCGTTAAATCTAATGTTATTTAAATAGGGAATAAATATGTCTTATGTATGGAAATATTTGAGTAAAAATATAATCCGACAAGTTGAAATTCGCTTAGTCTGCAGGTTTGCTGCGGCGGGGGTATTTTAAAGATGAAGCTGGTCTTTATGTTACTTACTTGTTGTATGTTAATTAATGTAAAACTGTTTAGGTTTTCAGAACCAAGTAGGGAATTTGAGAATACAAAGCATATATATAGCCTCAATGTTTATTTTATTTTATTATATTTTTTTTCTCTTTTTTTTCTTCGGTATATATATATATATATATGTATATTTTTTACATATATGTACATGTATGTAACTTATATGTATATATGTTTATTTTATTTTATTATATTTTTTTCTCTTTTTTTTCTTCGGTATATATATATATATATATATATATATATGCCGAAGAAAAAAAAGAGAAAAAAAATATAATAAAATAAAATAAACATTGAGGCTATATATATGCTTTGTATTCTCAAATTCCCTACTTGGTTCTGAAAACCTAAACAGTTTTACATTAATTAACATACAACAAGTAAGTAACATAAAGACCAGCTTCATCTTTAAAATACCCCCGCCGCAGCAAACCTGCAGACTAAGCGAATTTCAACTTGTCGGATTACATTTTTACTCAAATATTTCCATACATAAGACATATTTATTTCCTATTTAAATAACATTAGATTTAACGAGTGCTTAGGTTTGCTGCTATGGGGAAGGTAAAAAGTGTTTTTTGACCATTCGTCAATAGTATAGGATGAAATAAATAAATTTGCCAAATTTTATCAATATATATCCATAATCAAGTAAACTACAACAATTTTCATTTTCTCCATAAGAATAACATGGGAATTTTAAATTACACTATTTTTTAATTTTATACGTGACCGTTAGGCATACAACAGCGCTTCAATATACAATATACGCTTCGTGAGACACCCGGTATATAAACTAGCAGAGTACCCGTCCTTCGTACGGGGTTGGCATATAAGTATAAATTGCTTATTGCAGTTATACTCAAGCTTTGCCTTTGCAATGGGGGGAGAACACAATTTGATACAATTTGCTTCTTTAAATTTACAGTTTACTATAGTATTACACATCTACCATAGCCACAATGTTCTACCAATTCACCTAAACAATAATGAGAACATTATAAAAAATTCGCAAAATATCACAAATGATTCTTGAAATTAAAAACATAAACATAACTGTAAACAATCCTACTTAGACTGTTCTCATTGCATATTACAGTTTTTTGCTGCTTAGTTAAAATCATCTGTTTTCATAAATGCAAACAAAATTAATAATAGCGCTACACTCTGTTGGTAAATGTTATAACTGTTTAATGCTTTTCATGTCATAGAACCAACTTTTTTAGTTGAAACAGCTGACTAAATTCTTTAATTCCCTTTAATATGAATACTAATAAGGATAACATGGGTAACTACAGAGCCACTGGGGCGGAGCCCAAAAGGATTTTTGAGATATGAATATGTCTATAGCTATGTTAATCGGAAATGTGAGCTATCATCGTGCCAAATTTCAGCCCAATCCGTCCAGTTAATGAGTGATTGAACTTCAAACAAACAAACACACAAACTTTCACATTTATAATATTAGTAAGATATATATATATATATATATATATATATATATAAAATATACATATATATATATATATATATATATATATGAATTTGAACGGATGGTGTTTTTGGCCTCTAGGGACCTCAAAATGAAAAATTAAATCGGTCCCGGGTCCAGGTCCTACCATGAGTACTACGGTAATAGCTTATTCCCTACCTATATGGGGAATTCGCTAAAACTTTTACTCTCTCTGTTGCAGCAAACCTAAGTACTTGTTAAAGTAATCTATATATTAATTTGAAACTGTTTTTATTTGTCACAGCTATTTTGAGAGAATGGCTGGGCGTAGAAACTCGGTAGAGGTGTCTAAAGAAAGGTCTTGGTCTGTAGATGAGCCATCAAAAGAGAAACATGGTGAATCCCCTTGGGGCTCTGCCCCAGTGGCCTTTGAATTCCCATCCCATGTTATTCTTATGGAGGAAAACGGGGTTTTTGTCACAGCTAATTTGAGAGAACGGCTGGGCGTAGAAACTTGGTAGGGGTCTCTAAAGAAAGGTCTTGGTCTGTAGATGAGCCATCAAAAGAGGAACGAGGTCAATTCCCTTGGGGCTCCGCCCCAGAAGCCTTTAAAGTTGCCTCTTCAGATTTGTTTACATTACGACCATATGCATAATTCTACCCTACTTTTTAATTAAACAGCTGTTAATATTCAAATTGTGATTTATTGAATTTGTCAAAATGAAGTACAGTATTTGCAATGGGTTTTTCTGATTTTAAAATGGATTTTTCCTACAGTCACCCGACAAAGTTGGCTTCCTTGTACTGTTTATAGTACAGAAAGCTGCTAATTGCTGCATATTTATACTTTGCCGTACGATTTATACTTTGCCGTACGGTTTATACTTTGCCGCACATCAGGATTCCAACGAAACAACACAAAACAGCGTCGTTCCATTATGCACGTAATCCGTGTACGCTTGGAAATAGGTTGGCAACACTTAAAGATAATTATACTATGATCAGCTGATTGACTATTATAACTATGATTTAACCTGTCATTTCGTGTTTATAGTTTCGGTATTTCTGAACTTTCTGGACTTTTCTTTTAAACGTTTTTAAAACCTTCCTACGATCTTAATAAACAAGAAAACACCTTTTAAGCATTTTTTTTAGGCGCGGAAACCACTTCAAATTACAAAAACATACGGAACTATATTCTCAAAACGTGGAGCACATTTCTTGCCGAGGAAAAATAGCGGAGTGATATGGACCGCGGGTACTACTTTCTCTAGGGCACCATTTGTGTTGCCAGCTGAACCTAAAAACGTGTTGCATAGTGTTTGAAAGACTAATTATTTATATGCTTTATAGTGACTGTAGGAAAAATATAATGTGTAACACGAGTGAAAAAGGCCTTTGCTGCACTCGAGATCATTCCACAC